AGAGGCAAATTTTGTACCCCAACATGAAAATGCCTTTTGAATAAAGGAATCAGAGGTAGCGCGAATGTGAGTTTTGCTTAAAAATGTCGAAATCCTAATGCTTACCCTAGGTTAGATTTTTCCCTGAACAATGAAAATAGGATTGAACAGTAGATCTGTCGTAAATAAGCATTTTACTTATTTTTCGTTTATAAGTAGATTTTCTAGATTACCAGTAGATAAAATATATGGGATATATTTACCCTATTTTATTTACGCTAATGCAGGATTGATAGTTGAATTTTCCCACAATAATATGAATGGACCTCAGGTATCCAATGAATTTCACATAGGTAGAGAGTATTTCAGTTAGTATGAAAGTACATGAAGAAGAGATTCGAAGGCCAATCACATTAGAAGACTACCGTCATACTGGAGCCGTTTTGCTCAGCCCGTTTTCACCCGAAACGATGGAGGATGTTTGTAGACTGCGGCAGCCTGAACGTCGTATTAAAGCCAAACGACTGCAGTACAACGGAAATCAGCTGTCATCTTCTAGTGAGAGCAGCCTACGAAGCTCTTCTTCATGCGCCTTCATAAGAAATGAAATTCTGTCCAACAATGTTATCTCAGGAAATTTATCGACTCCTAGTCACTCTTCATATCTAGAATTATGCACAGCCTTGCTTCTTAAAAGGTATTTTCATCTGGGCTTGAATGCACTCTTTATCTCGCCTGGGTCTGAGCAGCACCTCGACAGGATTCTAACCCTGGGAATGCAAGGTATAATATAGGTAAAAGCCTGGCATTACTTGAAGTTCACATCTGTTCTGTGATCCAAGGCCACTCGTGGCCGTGTGGCATTGTGGTTAACGTGTCGAAACTATGAGCTGCACTGCAACAAACCGAGCTATCGTATCGCTGGGGCTGCTGATGAGACCACGATGAGGTTTAAACTGCAGTCCAACCTGGATTGGAGTACATTTTGGGAAGCAGGGTATGTGAAATTGAATGGAGACTTGTGACCTGCTCATATAATTTTGGGAAAATTCAACTACCATTCCTCATCACCCCAACAAAATATGATCAATGCATCTCACAAGCATTCAATATGACCGGTCAGTTCTTTATCTAACCATATCATAAGTAAATGTCTACAAATAAAGTAACTTGTACTTTTTTATTATTTTTACAGGCTAGAGCACAATATCTGCTCGTGCTGCCTTTTGACGCCAAAAGCCTTCAGCAAGGGCCCAGCATCACCTTGTATACTGCTCTCGGCTGGTTTAAAGTGAATGTAACAAACCTTTTTATGTCATTCGCTTCAGGCCAGGCTCAGTTCAACAATGCAGTTGCTAATGTGGATAGTAAAGTAGGTGTTATGTACCATGAAGACGTTGGAATATAAAAGTTTTTGCAGTAAGATTAAATATTACAATAATGCTGCAGTATAATAAAATCTTTATTTAGCCAAATTTATAACGTCAGGTGGCAAGCTTGTTCGAAGTTAATGGCAAGTAGAAATCAAGAAGAAAACGAGATGATAGTTGAAAATAAAAAGTGTACCTGGGATTTGATGAACATCTCGATATGACATCGTTTTGTTGACTTCAGTTAACATGAAAGGTCCCGATGAGTAGATTTGACGATATAAATAACCAGAAGACAAAGGCTCAAAAGTTGTTTGATTTTATTAGGATGCTTAAGTTAACGCAATACGTGAGGCATCCTCAGTTGGTTGGTGTGAAAACTGACTGAGCTTGACATCGCATTAGAGCTAGATCTCATTCTAACACAACCTTAAAATTAACAATTAGTCAAGAAGACCTAAAATAGGAAATATAGTCATATTATTGTGGGGAAGTTCTACTAACAGTCCTTCATCACCTTAAACGAAATAGGGTGAATACATCACATATTACTGCTGCCTTAAAACTCTGAGGCGAGCATGAGATGAAGGATCAAATAAACTAAAAGCGAGTAAAAATATGGCCCATGAGAATGCATTAGTTTAATTTCCAGCAAGCCGAGCCATTTACACTTTTGGATGAAAGCTCTTAAACTCTTATAAGATGTCGTCATTTGAGTGTAAACATTTTATTATCTTCACTTGGCCACCTAAAGGTGCAGAAATTGATCAATCTGAATGACTTCTTCTCTCCGATCGACAGCTTCTGGGACACTGCACTCAACCAACTCACCAAGCCAGATGAAGGTCTGCTTACGAAATTTGATGCATTTGAAGCCAAATTAGGCAGTGTGTACGAAGTAGTCGGACCAGTGTTTACAGCTGTCTGCTACTTCTTTCTTACAATAGAACTTACCTTATTTCTGGCCTGCCTACTTCATCTAATCTGGTTCTGCTACACCGACATGAAGTGGGAGAATATATGTAAGTTTTGTCTCGTTTTAGCAAATTTCCCATTAAGTCCTAGACTAAAAATTTATTTTATCTCAGATGTCATGAAAAAAAGGCTCTTTGAAAAACACCAACGAAATCGAAAATATTAGCTAACTGGCCGGGATCCTGACAACCATCATTTTTCGTCAACAAGTATAGACTTCTTTCCTTATAAGTAAATGGTTTCCCCTCGATTTGAACATGTTTTAAGAATAACTTTAATGAAATAAACCAGTAATACGTCCTCTGGCATTGTTATTCAGTCCCTTTACAGCATTAAACCAGTTGCAAGCAATATTCCCGGACTTTTACCGGTATCGTAGTCAGAATCGTCTGTTTTTAATCCAGCTTTGTGTTATCAGATTTTGCAAGAGATATTGACTATATTTGTTGATTTGTCAAGTTGTAATTCGTTGCTAGGACCGACGCTATTCACTACTGATGCTAACTACCATGCAGGCGGAACGCCTGGGAATACACTCAGCCGATTGTATGATGCTGAAAAACTGAATAGGTATCAAAACTACCCATAGATCTTGGATAAGAGAAATATTAACCCTAGGTCGAATAAGGTGAAGAAGATATCATAGTCAAATTTCTCAACAGTCATATGAAAGGACCTCACTATTTTATTTAATTCTACTCAACTTTGCTTCTGAAATAAGGCATTCTCATCAAGGCTGAACCGTAGTTTTGATATCGCAAAGGTCTTAACAGAGGAGGTCGAAACTCCAGGCCAGTTTAAATATGAAAAGCTTTTTGGAAAGCAATGTTGAATGAAATTAAATAACATATTATAGTTTTCTCAGATGTTTGAAGGAAAATTCTACTAACATAACTTTATCATCTGGCGAGACTTAAGGTGAATCCCGCTTAAATAATAGTTTAGATATGTAGGAATATATAAAGTGTACTTAAAAATCCAGCTAGAATGAGCGTCCACATTGCTAAATCACACAAAAAGTGATTTAGGTTGTAAAACGGATGTTTTGATACATCCGCACCAGCTTCAAGCATCTGCTTCATTGACTTTTAATAACAAAGAGAGGAGCGTGAAGTAGCCACTCAAAATATGAGATTTTATCATTAAACTATCAAATGAAATCATAACAAGTAATTGGGACTGCAGTCGACCCCTATCCTTAGTCTAGGGTCTGCATAGTGAAGTATTTTGAAGCATTGCTTTGTGCTTTTACGAAGTTTATCGCAGCACAGACAAAAACTCTGCATGTATCATCAGTCCAGGAATACCATATCAAGGACATCTTTTCCAACTTATAGTGAAAACCCCTACGCAACATTCCTTCGGTTGCTGATGCGTTCAAATTATGCATCTCTTCACCCCAAAGTGCCAAATTAGACGAAAATTCTATTGATATAACCGCTTATCCGTACTTTAAGGTGTGTAAAGTGTATGTATGTACGCATGTATGTATGTATGCATGTATGTATATATATATATATGCATATATGTATGTATGTATATGTATGTACGCATGTTTTAGTATATGTAGGC